TTTGGGTTCACATTTGCATAGGGTTTTGATCGCAAACTGGAAACTATTGTTGATATTGGTTCGTTGTTTTAGGCGACAATTCGGCATAATCCTTTTAGCAGTGTTTTACGAGCCTAAAAGGCCGGTTCTGTTTACTTTTTGAGTTTTGAACCTCATTTGAGTTTTGAATATTTATAAGCGTGACAAGCTCGTGTCGTTGAGTTACTCTTGTCAGCTTATTTGTGTCCATTCTTTGACGAGCTCATTGATGTAATTGTATGTATAGGAATGTTAAGCTTATAATTAACGGTACATTCGACCCCACCGGGTCAGCATTTTATAAAAAAGTTTTCTGAAACCTGCAAACTTCGTTTGGACATCTTGATGTTGAATGGTGGCGGGGTAAATTCTGGCCGGGTCACGAACCACCACCCACGTGTAAATATGGCGTGGCTTTATTTGCGCTCTTGATTTCCGAATAACCAAAGTCAGAAAGGATCGACAGCGCATCTCGTTGAGATGTTATATGGCTGACATATTTTAATTTCCCTCTCTCATAAAAAATACTTGCTCTACCTCACTAGATACATTAAAAAAATCTACAGTGCAAACTCTACACAATAGTCAAGTTAAGGTACCTTGTCGAATCTTAACTGGGTGACAAGGGTTTATTTGATGTCTGACTCTTATCAAAGGTGTACTAAAAGGTGTAGATACCTTTTAGTATACCCTTGATAAGGGGAAGGGAGGGGGAGGGTCCGGAAGCCCTATAGAAGAAGGCGGACGCTATCTTAAATGGCTGGACGTTATTTCTCTCCGCCCCTCAAATGTATATTGAATAGGACATATCTGTTGATGTGGATCGCTCAGTATCAATTACTGTGCGTCGCATTTAATTCCATATTTATTGATTAAATTTCCATACAAGAAATTACGTAACTAAATTATGTTGCGAGTCGAATGACAGTTATGCGATCCTAGTTATGTTAAGACGATCTAATCGCATTGCGAGAGATCCCGGGTTCGAATCTAGGTGAAATATGATAAAACCGGTTTATATAAAAGTATATAAAATCGATTCATATAAGTAAATAAATAGTACGATTACATGAAAATAGTAATTGAGACCTTTACTCGAATGCGTCTAAGTGAAATTGAGTGAAAGTAAAGGCCGCCCGCGCAATGACATACTGAATCAATAAAAGACTCATTACTAGGCTAAGATTCAGAAACCTGATTGTAGGACAGCCTATGAACGCCGTTAGTCGTATTTTGGCTTCACGTCGTCTTTTAGTCTATTACGCGAAGTTTTCAAGGTTCGTTTTTATTGTCCCCTGAGAACATAAAACAAGTAGGTTATTAAACCGAAACCCGACAGTGTAAAAAGTAGAGAAAGCGAACACTAAATCGCATTTTTACTTATTATTTTTTTCTGCCACTTGCCAAGGCCTGTCTATTGATGACAAACACGGGAGTGTTTATCTATACTAATATTGTAAAGCTGAGTTTGTTTGTGCGCGAATCTTAGGGACCACTGGGTCGAATTAAAAAAATGTGAAGCTGTGAAGTGAGGGGTTCAAGATATCCAGAAAATATATACGAAGGAATGATTCTTACAAAAATGACTTAAAACATTTTTGCGGCGAATATATGTCTGTCGTTTAAGATTAAGTCAACAAGAACGTTTTTTATGGTAATCAAACTTTGGTCGATATATCTTCATATGGCAAAAGAACGTTTTGCCGTGTCAGCTATTTACTATATCTACAGTTTGTTATGCCTCAGCATTTTAAGCGCTGAAGCTCTTGTGATCGTTCAACATATATGTTATGGTACTATGTTTTATGTTGTTCCACACTGAGTTATTAAGTAGGGTATGAATAATGCAAGCAACGAAAGCGTTCTCCGAGGAAGGCTATAATGAGTCTATATGAATCACCTATGGAAAAGTGTTAAACGGAATTGCGTTACGCTCACAAATTGTTTCTAACGTAAACTTGCGTTTCCTAACAATGGAATCATGGGTATCGGTTATAAGTTAATTGGGAGAAAAATGCGTTCAATTCATTGACTATTTTCTCTGACCAACTTTCAATAATTCAATATATACTTATAATTGAATTTGTAAATAAAGTCAATATGTTCAATATTTGTGATTCCACGAGTTCTGAAAATATATATAGTACTGCGTGCTGTGCCAGCGACTTCGTCCGTATAGTATAGTTATTTTGGGCGTCAAAATTTGTTTTTGAGAACTTCCTCCTCATATTTATAAATTATATCTGTTACCCACGCCATTCGTATCCCGTCGTACGCGTCCTGTCGTTCCGGTCGTTCTTGCAAGTTAATCTTAAAAGATTTAGAAGACATTTCTCGCTGTTTCTTCGCTTCCTATAGCTCACCTCGATAAATGTCTTAACTAAGACAAAAATAATTATTCAATTCGAACCAGTAGTTCCTGAGATTAGCGCGTTCAAACAAACAAACTCTTCAGCTTTATATATTAGTATAAATAGGTAAAAATCGACGGGTAGCGGATTCGATTTTTTTTTTAATGTAAACCTTTCGGTTTTAGTCTTTGGATAAAATTACTAAATCCCCAAACTCAAAATTGGTCGAGCCGTTCGCAGCTCGGTTATTTACATATGTTATCGTAAAAAAAAAACTAAACTGTGACCGGCATTTTCTTTGTGAAAACTGCAGACAACACATGATATTATATAGATATATGATTTCTATTTTTGGCTATAGTATATTTATTCTTAGTATTAAAATCTGACTAATCCTTTTCGTCGCTAGTAGTGTTGTAGGATATACCAGCGGGAGTGTAATTCTTTCGTTTCCACGCTAACCGCGTTAATTGATGAGTATCGGTACCTGCTATATATCGTAATTACTACTTACATAAACTTCGAACCAGTTTTACTACACGGACACGACGGCTAAGAGAGTCGAACACGCACATGTTAGTGATAGCTTATGTATATAAAAACTGACGACCACGGTTTTACCATTTGAGCTAGTCTACTCAAATACTGTCTTTAGTTTAAGCGAGTAGTACCCATTAAAATAAGACGCGATATATGTATATTAGTTAAACTTATTTGAAAATTATTTTAACTATGACCCGACGTTTCGGGTGCTTTGCAGCAGCCGCGGTAACGGGGAGACGAAAGATGGTGGGTGTCTCCGAAGTCAAAGTTAAAGACTGCTACGCTAGCGCCATCTGTTCCACCGAAGTTGATATTTGGCGACTCTACCCAATTGTAACCCTCACACGTTCGTTTGCGAATATAATATAACAATAAAGAAATAAACTAGGCTGGAATTATAAGGTTCCATATAAATTACTGTTATATATTTCTGCACTCGCATTTACTGAAATTCATTGAATCATTTCCGTTATATAAAACAACCCTTTTAAGAAGCAATGCTATGATTCAACCTGTGCATTTTTCAGGAATGCAGAGTGCGGTTCTTTTTACTTTATTACAACTTGGTAGTTGGTCTAGTGGTCAGTTTAGAGTTTGTATTTAGATAAGTATACGGCAACACTATTTAAAAATTATAAATTATATTTAATATAAATGTTAAATTAGTAGCGATAGATAGCCCTAAACGTACAATGGCGTGATGAGTCTAAGCTCCAAAATCCTCGCTATATCTTAGCCCAATTGTGGGGAATCTATAGGTTGTAACGAAAAGGTAAAATATTTAATATCCCATTCAAATGTCCAACTTGATTACAATCTCATTCGCTTAGTTTAACTAAGCCAATTAAACAAAGAATTTTCGTAAAAGGAAAAGGTTTTCGCCAAATTTTTTCATCCTTGAAGGGGGATTGTTTTAGAAAATCGCGTTATCGCCTCGTACAAAGGGCTCGTCCTCGTTTTGGGTTGAAATGAGCTATTCGTTTAAAATTCTTACCCCGCCATACAACCGCCGTGGGTGATAAACGCCCGCCTTTTAATGGAATTGCTCACATTGTTTGACATGAAATGTTTTAGTACACCCAAAGTTGCTTTATTAACAACATCGAAGTTAAATACAAGTTTGCTTCTAAGCCATCACATTGTCTGATATAAAAGCTTTTGTATTAGTCACTTGACAAAGAAATCGAACAAAGCTTTGATTTCGGTAGGTATATCAATCATTGTTGAAATTATCGATAGTTGAATTAGACTTGTCATTTCCATAAAATTTCCTGAAAAAATTGTCCTTACTACGAGTAAACATGCATTATTTAATTGTTTCTAACATTTCACTAAAATCTTTTTTAACTTGACGTCAGAACTCCATCTTTAGTGACCACGGCTGCTGCAAAGCATTTGAAACGTCGGGTCGTAGTTAAAAAATCAATACTAATATATATCGCGTTTTAAACTGTTAAAGTGTTTATTTAAATACAGACACTATTTCACTAGAATCTTAAACAATAAATTAAAAAATACACGATGCCCTGAAAATATACATTACAACCAAGTACTATAACAAGTAATAATTGATACTAAGCATAAAATAGATAACATCCATGATCCGTTCTCCGCTCATTATATCAATGAGTACGCAAATTACTAATTCGACTTCATCATCTCCAAATGATTAATTGCTCGGACGTCAGCTAGAAGTCGCGCACTCTACGGTGATGACTTCACCGAAACATTGACCTTTTGCGGTAGCTTCATCGCCCACGACTGAACGCATCCTCTTATCATTCAAACATCATTGAGACTCCGATGCCGAGAACATTATCGCTGCGAAGTTTGAATATGTTAGTCAGTCGGCCGCTCCCGCGACGGACGGACGTGCGCGCCTTGACCTATAAAAATCGTAATTAAGATTTTTTATCACGCGTCCATGTACTGGTAGGCTGATGATTTTTTAATTGCCTCTTCCCGTAACCGGTTCGACAAGATCGCCAGTGTTTAACGCAACCGAAGGATTGCAGTGGCATAAGTGAATGGATGTGACAATGGGTGCATGAATTACGACTCGAGCTAGAAGGAACTATCGGAGTCGGGATGTACGAGGTGTCGTGCGTAGCTGGGAACAAAGTAGACGCGGCCTACGCAGTCAAGAGCCTCTCCAACGTGATACAACCGGGCATGGGGCACGCCGTGTCCGTGCAGCGCCATCATGCGCACTCTCAATCGTACAAACACAAACCAGAACCGCCGCCGGTCAGCAAACCGGACGCGATCAAGTCCCACGTCATGAGACTCCTGAAACGGTCCAAGAGCCACACGCCGGCCACCAGGGCGGCGGAGAACCAGGCGGATCCGCGCATGTTCGATCGCAGGACGGTCTTCTCGAAACCGGTGGCCGACGAGCAGAGGCGCAGGAGGAACTCGTCCGAGAGGCGACGGAGCGGCGATAAACGCGTCATGGTCACGATCGTGGACGGTCTACCTGTCGTCGTCACCGGGCAGAATCCACCGCAGCACCCACCGCCCGTGACGCACCACAGACACTCTCACAGAGATAAGGTGAGTCTATTTTTAGGCAGCGCCTCTGAAACACTTAGCTCTTGAAGTATTTATAATCATAAATGTGCACAACCTTAACGTGCAACACAAAGATGTCTCGTGTCAAGATACGCGTCTGATATTGGAATGTCTGTTTGTTTATTTGATACGTGATTCGATTTGTCTAACGATTTCCTTGTAGCAATCAACTGTGTCGCGCTCACAAGATTAGATAGATATGTTATGGTGTGTATTTCCGATGTACCATCAACGTATTATGTACATTAACGTTTAAAGATGACAATGGGATGAGAAGGATAATACAAGATACTTATGTGGGCGTCAATTACAACGATTATTGAGTGTTATTAATTCTAATATACTTAACAAGTAGTAAGTAGTCTGTTTGTATAATATGATACTAGACTCACAGCTTTAACGGCGCAGTAAATATTGAAATAATTATAATTGTATAATGCAGTTCAATATTTTACTTAGCTTCTAGAACATACTTTGTCTTACATATATGGTATCTATAATCTAGGTAATGTTAATGTCTTTTCTACGTCGATCTTAATATTATAATGCAATACCAATATATATAGCTAAGATATACAAATAGGTATATCTTAAACTTAAAGAGAGATCTATATAAATGCTGATTTAAATAGATACGATTTCGAAGGTAGTTATGTCGTATATATCTTAAGTTAAATCTTTGTAGCGTAACAAATGTTGAATAAGTGATCTTACATCGACTGTACTTCCAATACAGAATTTGTAACAAATGGAAAAAAACGTTAATCAATTAAAAGTTTTTACAAAATAATGTTATAAAAATACATGTAATTGCCATACTTTCATAAACATTCCCTGTGTGAAGACAATGTTGTAGAATATTATCGATCAATGGTTCATTATATTCACAGAGAATTAAAGACCAAAGACGTATTTCTGTTTTCATTGTGACTATCGCAAGAAATACAAGAGTTTTACAGTTAAGTGACATAACTTGGAAAAATTACAACACGATCAGTCGATTCCTCCATTCGTAAAACTAGTCGATATATTATATAACAAAACTTAGTCTTAGTCTGTAGTTTACGCGAGTAGTAAACATGGAAATAAAACACTATCGATTTAAAACGCGATATGTACCACGTTTCAAACCGTTAAAGTGTTTTAATACAATTATATATTTATACAAATATATTTCTGATTCTTAAGATGTGAATAAAAATTGAGCTTACAATTACCTTATTGTTTCGCTTACTTTAACGTATGAAAATAATTCATGCAGATATTCTTTTTTTTTTTTTTTGGGAAACCAAGAAGTTTTTTTACTCGATTGTCAATGGTGTTGAAGGTTTCATTCGTTTGATCATTATCAAGTACCTTATATATTTATACCCATAGTATGTATTTGTTTTGGTATTTTAACATTCCGCTCAATTTTTGAACCAGTGGATAAGCTAATTCGTTTTGGTCAAAAGAGAAGGCGTGGCTAATCTAGTGTAAGATAGGGATGGCACTTCTTTATATTATTAACTAGCTGATCCGGCAAACGTTGTTTTGTTGTAATAATTATATTATTATGTTGATACAACCCTAACAAATAATTGGTAAGAATGCATTAGTTTCTTTGGGCCTTCTGAGTTTATCTGAAATGACATATTTTTTCGCAGTAATTTTTTAGATAATTTAGGAAGCAATCATTTGTTCATACATATGTCTTGGCTTCTAGGACCGTTTTTCGAAGCACACGCAACGGAAATCCTTAAAGATGATTATTTTATCAAGGTTTTTAATATTTTCCACTGTTTTTGTTCGTTTAATGTTTTATAGCTTAAAGCCTTTCTTGATAAATAGTTTATCCAATACAAATATTTTTTTTTAGATTAAATGAGGTGATTTAAATTTAAAACTTTCAACAGTTTATTACACGAGTGAAAACTCAATTTTCAACGGCGTATTTCAATGATCTTATCTTTTTCTAGATGATGTTATTATGTAGATGCCTACATGGAAATATATCACTTTTGCCAGCCCTAACATTGTTTGCCACTTAATAAGAGTATTCAATTAATTTCTGAATAGCCAGTTATAACCTGCATAGGCCAGTGAAAAATATTCATACCGATCGTGAAATGTTATTCAAATTCAACGGTTGTGAATTAAAATATCTCTCTTTTAACTACTCTCCGCTTCGAATATTATATAATGCGAGAGAAGTGCACTTCCCCGCCTTTGTACTGGAAAGTTAGAATTTTGTATTCAATAAAAAGCGACGACTTTTTTCCCCGCTGTTGAAAAGTATTGTTTATCACGCTTATTCTCACTGCGCTGTTTTTCTCTATTTTTTCACGGTCGTCTAGCAATTGAGAAACTTTAAACATTGCATTCGAGTGCGCAGAAGAGAGAATAGCTTAAGTTTAATTTAATATTAAGAAATAATCTTTAGTAGGTCTGAAACAAAGCACTAAGTACTGTCTATAGTTTACGCGAGTAGTACACGTTTAAATAAAACACTTTAACGGTTTAAAACGCGATATATTAGTTAAACTTATTTGAAAATGATTTTTAACTTCGGCCCGACGCTTCGGATGCTTTGCAGCAGCCTAAAGCAGCAGTTAAAGTGTTTTATTTAAAAGCACTAAGTTTTAATTTAAGTTGCGCTTCGCTGACGATTTCCGAATAAACCTAAGCCTATATGGGTCTACAACACATCCTGTTAAGATGTTATATGGCTGGGCTATTTAACTTTTTAACTAACCTCACCTGTGTGAACGTAATGCTTGTCTGTCCTCCTCAAAAAATAAAATATAGTGAACGAATTTCTTTTATATTATTATATGTTATCAACGGATGTAAGATTGATGTCTGAAAATGTCTTATTCTTCAAGCTCAATTCAATATAAATAGCTTGAAATGATTATAAGTGTTCGTTAGTCTTTGAGCGTTCTATTATGGTAACAATACATATATTAGTTATCGTAAAGTAATGTTATCCGTCTTAAAGGCACGATGTGAACAATAAGCTCGGGTGACACACAATGACAGGCGCACTGATTAAGATGTGAGTTATTTTTATAGATATATACGTCACAGTTGGACGTGTTTGTCCATTTTTGGATAACAAAGTATTCAAAAATGTATGAGGTTGCCATAATCATTGTTTCTAGACCTTCCGTCCTTCGGACCTAGATAGTTAAGTGTTGTTTGCAGATTACGGTTGGTTTTAAACGTGAAATATATTAGTTAACTTTTTTTTTAATTTAACTACAGCGGTGCCGCGCGATCACGGCTACTGCAAAATAACCGCAACGTCGGATTGTAGTTAAATGAAATTATAAATATGTAATTTATACATTTCCCGTTTTAAACGGTTAAAAGTGTTTTATTTAGACCTTTATTGTTTAGTCGATGTATCTGCCTCTGATAGTTGGTATTACCAGCTTGAAGCAAAATACCGTTTATAGGAAGTGTACCACATTACCCTTCATTTTAACGAAAAATAACAATAAAAATAATATAATATACACTTATGGAAAAAATGAATAAATAAATAAATAAATGTTTATTACAACGCACCCTGCGGGTTTAAGTCCCGCCTGTACCTGGGATGTTTATATTTATCGAAAGTACTTCAATAGCCATTTGAACGAAATGCATATTTAGGGCTTTCGGGTTCAATCTGAAGCCTCGCTCGAGCACTTTGATCGAGCACCTTTCAAACGTTCGTCCAAGTGAATTCGATCAAAGGCCGTACAACAAAGGGTTCTGATATTTACAATACACTCCCTTAGATGTGAAGCGCGGACGCGAGTCGTTCTTCCGAGGTTTGATGTGATCCTTTCTCTTTAGTCGAGTTTTAAGTTAGTAAATATAAAAGTAGTAGACTTTTGGGTTGCGATGTTGCAACGGATTCTACCACAAATACCGCCCATCTTTAACCACGCTGTTTCTCAAGAACCTTGATATATTTATTATGTCTTTAATTTAACAAATTAAATGCTAAGGGATCGTTTTTGAAATGCGTTATAATGTTTGAAAAGAAAAATATATAATTTATTTTACTTTTTACTATTTGTTGTTCATACTACATTTGTGCTTTTATATATACCATAGAAAGTCCATAGAAAGAACGTTACAAAGACTGTTAAATGGGCACCCGATTAAGACTATAATATTAGACTAAAATAATTAATTATAATACCAAGCGACATATACAATTATAGGGAAAACGTTAGATTCCACTTAAAAAAAGTGAATCCCGTTTTCCTCTCTTGGGGCGAACACATTTTTGTGTTCGTTAGTAGTGTCTGCACTGTCCGTCCGTCCGTTTTGAATTTACAAGTACTTTTGGAACAAAATTTAAAAGCAGAGTAGACGTGTAAAAAGTTGATAGTGCACCAGAATAGACTGGGCTATAGCAGGAAGCGAGTTAAATATAACGGAACACGTGCTGAATCGGATCGGCGCAAGAGGGTGTTTTCGGAACTTTTTCGGAAGAACTTAAGGCGAGGAGTAATTGTTTTCCGTATAATTCCCTGCTTTATTATTTGTTTGTCTGCACCTACAATAAAATTATGTTTAACAGGCTTATAATAAACGGGTCGCGGGTTCAATCCCCAACATCTTTCTAATCACAGGCTTCTAGGGTTCGTCTGGAAGTCTGCATATTAAATAGCAGGTATCCAGCGGTTTACATGGGTTTCGAACTACCGTGCACAGATGAAAAAGCGCGTTTCGATTTTGTTTGTGGATTTCCGAACATCCAAAGCCTAAAAAAGTCTGTTGTTATATGGGTGACGTATATGTATATTTTATAATTAATGGACAACTTGTGTACCAAAAACGAGATAGATCAGAATTAATTTTTATATGAATCATTAGTTTATTACAATTTAGGGCCACAATAATTAGGACGCGAACTGTTGAAAGCGCAAGTGAACTGCGATCGATGAAATAAATTGCGTAATGGATGCATAAGAGTGTGGTGGATAAATATAGATGGTACGTTTTCGTGTGGCGTATATTTAGCGCGGTCGTGTGATCTTATATTTACGAAAATGTATACGTACTGTATACAGAATGTTTTGTGTTGTGTTTATTGAGCTGAATGAATTTTTTGGTTACAATGTTTCAGTGTCTTCGTATGTATAAGTGTATGCTTATATTATTATCTTAAAACGCAAGTTTTGATAATAATGTTGTTAGATAATTTGAGTAAAACCTATACCAGGTACTGCGTAGTATGTAGATTTACATTTTATTACGAGTATGTTGTGAAACGCCATCTAGCGCTGAGTAGCGGAAGACCCGTTCATTTCCAAACATAAGTTTACTCAACCTAATGTAGTACAATGTTTCGTTGAGCATATTTATATCTTATTGATTGTTGCGTGTGTGCCGAGTGAGATAATTTATGTACCTATAAGACAGATACTATTTGTGTCTATTTTTCTTTTGTTTTTAACATTTTAACGCTTTCCGATAGATGGCTCTAGTAGTTACATTTTCAAGTTTAATCTTCGTTGCAAGATATTTTTTTTATTTAAAGGATTTTTTATTCGTAATTCGATTTTTATTATATGCGCATTATAGAGACAATAAAAAATGTATATTCGAGTATCAATCGTATTACTAGCTATGGTGCCACTTGTTTCATATTTAAAAGAATGCATTTCAATAACGCTGAATGTTTTATTTTTTTTTCACGTATCTATTTTAGATTTATTAAGACCAATAAACATAGCATTTATTGACTAGTGCCTAAAATACCTACTGAAAAGTATGATTGACGTCACTGAACCTACTTATCTTGCCGGCTGCCACTACAGCGACCAGTTTTGGGTTTCAGTTTTTTGCGTGCCTTGACCACATGAATTGATTGGGTGACTGAACTCTCTGATGCAAAGTATTATATCATCGTCTACATTAAATTATATGTTACCTTATATATAATATAAAAGCGGTTTATTAAGTTACAAACATTTATGACAAAGTATTCGAACACAAGACCAACGGAGTATATTGGCATTTGATTTGACGTATTGAGCCCGGGTGTTTGCGGCTAGACCAAGGGTGCCCCGAGGGGGGCCTCCTTATGCATGTAACTTTGGCCTAAAGGCCCCTTTCTTAAACTAACATACCTAGATTATTTGTTATAAGATTTCCCACGTCATAATGCAGTTTATTTCGCCTTTTAAACAGTTTAAGTGGTTCTTTGAAGGTGTATCGCCCGTGTAAACTACAAATAATATTTACCACGGCTGTTAAACTGGGTTGTCACATTAACAAACGTCTAAAGGTAAACAACGATAAAACCGTTGACCAATTCGTTATATCAATTGTTATCGCCAAGAGTACAAAACGTAAAGTATTATGGATTGTTTGCTTTGTTGATGAACGTTGTTCGGAAATTAATGACTTATTTATTACGTACAACATTACGTGACCACGCCTGCTAAAAAGCAACTGTCGGGTCATATTTTCAATACATTTTAAACGAAAGAAAGCTCACCACAAAAAATGATAACGTCACAAGAAAATACGAATATATTGTTAGTAAATTTAGTTTTAAATAAAATACTTTTTACAGTTTAATACTAGAAGTATATCGCATGTTAAATTATTTTCAATTACGGCCCCCGTGATATGGCTATTTACTGATGCGTAAACTACATACACTACTTACTTATTCATAAAATAACTAAAAACTCACGGAATTTATAATATACATACAGACTGATCCAGATGTCCATTTTGTTTTTTATTATATTCTATTACTTCTTTCATAAAAATAACTTTAAATAAGAATATATTTTATTGTTAAATGTATCATATATTTTATGACGTTCTCTAAGTGTCTCTCTTTTTTGTGTCATGTTTTTTTACCTTCAAAGCAAATAAAATTGATTCCGCGTTGAACACTGTCGGGGCCTATTTGAAAATAGCGCGTTTTCAACCGCAAATCACGTGGCGGTGGTCGCGCGTTGCAGAACCGGTGCCTGTATAGTGTTACCTGCCGCCGCTCGCTTAAGGTGACTCACTGCTTCACTTGTTTTCATTAGAACACGAGACGAAATCCTAATATGTAAGAATTCTATAGTAAGTATAATTCTGGAAAATATGAATACACTAATATTAATAACAATAATATTGAGCCGACAGAGATATCGAGATTCCAACGTCCACCATATTTGTCTAAAACATGTGCCGGCAACAATTAGCTATGCAATAGTTACAGTGCTCTCCAAACTTTTTGGCCGGAATGAAGTTAGCGGGGGGATCGTTGCGCAGAATTCATAAAGCAGGTATCAGTTGCGACAAAGGGGGTGCGGGGGGGCTCGACTTTTTGCTTAAAATTGACAGTACCACGCGCAAAATTGCGGTCGCGCTAGTGATGCCCGGCCAAAAAGTTTGAAGAGATCTGTACTGTGCCCCTTATAATAAGAATTATTCATGATTTAAACTTTTTTTTAAATTATAAAAAAAACTTAATCAGACTATTATTTTTTATTCTAACCGCTCCATATTTCGCTCTAGCGTTAAAAGTTAATATTTTATAATTGAATATGTCGATAATATTGTCGTGACGTAAGGGGAAATGGAAACACGCAACTTTCACGGTCACGTGATCCTACGCACAGTCTAACCTAGATGCGCACGGAGCAGTTTCGACCTGTTCCAGTGATTTTGGTTGTAGTTCACTATTGGAGTCGCAAAAACACTAGATTTTCTAGATGACATTTAACATATGCTAAGAAATGATTACAAACATATCTTAGTGACGGATATACAAAGATAAAACTTATGTTACTTTACTTTTTATTATTTAAGGTTCATATTGCAGAGTAGGTTTTACTTGGGAATTTTGAAACAGAACAGATTGGCTTTGTTTTTTACATCCGCGTGCGAGCATATAAAAACATGTACCTAACTCCATGATTATAATGAAACTGGTTTTCCTATTGATTAATATTGCATTAGAGTTTTATTGCGAATAAGTTATTTGCGCTGAGGATGTGAGACAACACACAATACAGTTGTGGGAAAATCACATTAAAAAGTACTATTGACCCTTTGAGAGTATAATTTCGCCTAGAGCAATGGCTCGGAATGCAATGGATAAAATGTATAAACCAAAATGGGAAGTTCAAATTAAACATAGTTCATCAGAAACAATAGTCAATGACACCTGTTCAAAGCCTTACAAAGAGATAGTACAAAGGTTAAAAATTCCTCTTGCTCTTTACCCGGGTAAAGACCCGGCTGGTTACAAGAGCTAAGAGTGAATAATTTTGTCTTATCTCCACGTCACATATACTTTTCTCAGCCCCTCACTCCTTTCCTCCGAAGGCTGATAACTGGGTAGGCGCGGCGGCGCGGGCGCAATGCCTCCAGTTTCCCTTCCGTTGTGGCGCGGAGCGCACGTCTCGCTCAGTCATCGTTTTAGTGATCATAAAAACTACGGTTCCAATGCGTACGTAACGACAGGTTAAAAGTGCAAAGGATGTCAGTTGCTCTCGTGTAATTCATATTATCATCCGTGATTTCTCCGCAGCGATACCGTTGCGTTTCGCTCCGGCGGTTCAGCTAATAACTTGGATCTACAGTGACTGTGCTTGACTAAGATTTAATACCGTGAAAAGGTCACTTACCTTGATCGGATGCTATTGAAGGATTGGTGACGATTCTTTCTCTAGACAAACATTCCCTTCTACCAATTAAGTAAAATGCCGTTCGATTCTAATACGAAGGCTCCTCTTTTCGTTAGTATCGTCATCTAGGTCGAGTTTTACTCTTTCTCTTTAATGAAAGCCATCAGAAGCTGCGCCACGAAACTTCTTTGTTAAATGAACAGTTATTGGCGAATTGATTAAATGGCGAACGGTGAGTCATGATCGATCATCTTGTTCGGCGTTACTTGGTTTTTGTTTTTACGCTCGAGAGAGTTCAGTTCGGCGCTGGAAGGTTTTGTTTCGGCCGAGTGAAACGACAGTAATTGGACCTTGATATCCGGAATTACAACAACCGGTACGCCGTTTTGTTCTGGGATAAAATGCCAACGTTTAACTCGCTTCGACAATTTTCATATAGCTAGGAAACCTTCTTGAAGTTATTAATTAGCAATTCTAAATGTCTTATCTTGCAAACTAGGTATCTTGCATACATAAAATATAATTCTAGTCTTTGTTCATGTACAAGGCCGGCGGGCGAACGATTTTTCGTGTAAATAGAGGCATGGCGCTGCATTCTGATCCTATACATAAATTTGTAACAACAGCAAACTCACTTTTTCCGTACGTGACGAGATGGGTGATGAGGGTTCTGTCAATGATGTTAGGACGAAACCTCCCTCTGTATATATCTTGACCCTATAAAACTATATTATAGATTCTAGATCAACTGTAAGAGTTACCTAACATATTTAGTACTTTGAAACCTTGTTATATATTATTACTCGTTAGTTCACAAAAACTATATTTATATAAAAACACTGCCATTGGTATGATAACGAGCGATAAAAGTACATTTTCCTTGTTGTGATTTCAAATGGCTAAGCTAAGCAATCTTTCCGTTGTTACTTATTTAAGTAAAAGCCCGTTTCCCCCTCGTGGGGCATGGGGCGAACACATTACTGTGTCCGTTTCACTGATCCGTTCTTTTAACGGGCAAGTAGTTGATCAGACTTCTGTGCCCTGCCCGATCGAAACAATTTTATGCTTCCCTGGAATTCGAACCCAGGACCTCTCGGGCTTAACGCAATGCTAGGTAATATGTTTAACCATTTGGCTACAGAGGCAGTTTACTTATATAGAATTTATCATTTTGTTACTCACCTTACCCTTTATAAAAACCATTTTTCATAACTAGTTGCATGTAAATATATATTTTATATTATATAATTGTGGAATGGACAAAGAAGTTTCTATGACATTAGCAAATATTTTTCCATATTAGAACAACAGCATGTTCATAATGGCGCTGGCATGATAAACTTGTCTAAAAAGTAACCACTTGTTTTCTTATCAGTTATCATTCCGGTAAAGGTGTTATCAGTCTTCGGCGTGATAACACCTGATGTTGACAGGGCTCAGTTCCACGCTGATGTCATTTTGCTGAAATTAATATTAAATTGATTTTATGTCAGCTGGCGTAAACAATTCCATACGCTCTCCTGTTGGAAGGGCAGGTGCGCGTAATATGTAAAACCGGACACAGGTAAAGGGGAGAGGCCCCGAATATTGGTTACGGATTTTATTATTATTTGTCTGACGGGCTCGTGCAAACCACGGTAGGTGCGACTCCCACCAGGTCCAAAATGTATTAATTCAATTCACACTTTTACACATACAAGATACACAATGAAATTTTACAACTATAGTGCACCGAGCGGCCTAATCGCTATAAGCCATCTCTTCCAGGCAAGCCGAGTAGAAACTTAACGGTTAAACTAGACAATGTGCAGGAAGTGCAAAACATACTAACAAATACATTTTACCTACATAATAAACTTAAAATAATAATAATATGTTAGTTAATTTAAAAAATTATTCTTGAAAATGTTACACGTCGTCTCGACTTGTCGAATCATGAATAAGCCGTAAAATGGATAAGTTTTATCCTTACTTAAAGTTGGCATACACTTGTAATCATTGAATAGGTATTTGAACAGATGTTCGCTATTGTAGTTTAAAGAGATATAACTTAAACGGACGTCTGACGTCCTCGCGCTGAGGTCGACTTGACCTTAACACCGATAATTTGCACGATATTGCTTTTTATCCCATTACAATCTTTTTTAAGTTTCTAATAAACCGTCAAGTTACCCCGAAATTGTAAGGGCTTATATGCACTAAGCGATTAGGCGCAATGCAGCTAGCCTCAAGTCAGACAAAAGACAGCCGCTCGGCCTCGGCTCGGTTTCTATACGCACTATACGACACCAATAAATTAAGATGCAGTATGGTTTAAATTGCGAATTAACCGATTGAATCCGCGTTTTCATCTTAACTATCCGGTAGCCTTGTGAGCTAGAGTCCTAATTAAAATAAAAGAAAATTTTATATTGTATTACCAGTCAAACTATAATTCTTTAAAAAGATGTTCAAGACGTACAGTAGTTTCGTCATTGCTGATAAATCATTTCTTTGATTTGTCTCAGGTAATTTGATTATGAACGCTTTTATCAACCAAGTTTTCTCCGTGTTTAAAATTCGCAAGATATTGCAAGAAAGAAGGAAATTTTTTGTGTTTATACAAAAGAAAAGTTTAGCTTTCGTAGTTTTTATAAATAAGGGTACAACTATATTCATTTTGGATTACAACTCTTTGGCTTTATTTTATTTATTGTGTACCACTCGCGTTAGTACAAAAAAATACTGGATTTCGTTATAAATAATATAGAGGAATAAACAATAATGTAATAATTCAACTGCCCGATCTAGTCAGTGTTAATTATACAGTCGATTACTGCTTATTTGCACACAAAATAACCCAAATAGCCCACTTGGTGTACGACGAACGCCATGTTGGCGCGTCGCTGTTTGATCACGGCGGGCGAGGCTCGAATTTAAATACACCATGCTCAAACAATTATAAGTATTTCCAATATTTACTCTTCGGAAACCTTGTAGAATATTCTGAATAGTAAACCAAGCGTTGTAAAGATTGAGGGCCGTTTAATATTCATTCTTAAAATTGTAGTATCCCTACCTTTAATTAACAAAATAAGCCGGGCCCGTTACATATGGAAAAATACTTACATATATCGCAGAGTATTCTAAAGTAAAATTCATACTAAATCTGTCTGTCGTTTACGCTAGTGGTAAATATTTACATAAAACACTTCAAACGGTGACCATGGCTGCAAAGCATAGTGAAAATACATTAAAAATAAGTTAAATACTGTCTATATTTACCATATACACATTTAAATAAAAAACTCTTTGCAGCAGCCTGAAGCTCTGCAAAGCATCCGAAACGTCGGGCCAAAGTTAAAAATCATTTTCAAATAAGTTTAACTAATATATCGCGTTTTAAACCGTTAAAGTGTTTTATTTAAAAAATAAGTTAGTTAATTTATTTCGCTTTTTAAAACCTTGAATACTTTTAAAATGCGAAATCCCGTTTTCTCCCGTGGATTATGATCAGTTCTTTTGCATGCAAGTAGTAATCAATGTTTCCCTGGGATTCGAATCCAGTGCCTCTAAAGCTTAATGCTAAGCTACAGATTTAAACATTTAGATACGGAGGTGGAGAGCGGGGCGCGGTGTTAGACTATATACTAATATTTCAATGAAAACTAAAATAATTAAGAATTATTCCAAAAAGAGATCCGTAATCGCTTTTGTGTTTACGACTCTTATCACTCGCCTTATCTGATAATACTGTTGCAGTGCGGCCGCGATACACGGTCGTTTGTTTTACATCGTTTTAGCCGCTTTTAATTATGATTTATGTAATTATTTCAATGTCTAGTATCCGAAATTGGACAACTTTCACCGATCGTCGTGAAGCTTTCGAGAAATTTTATGCTTTCCCCTCTTTTAGGAAGACATTTTTTTTCTGTGGTGTGGTTCCATTATTGTTGGAAATTTCGAAGTAAATGACGTGGAAAATACTTCTTTTTATGATAAAGCAAGACTTGGGGTTCACTTCATAGGAAAGGTGACATACACCAACCATATAACATCCAAACAAGATGCACTGTCTACCTATTTAGCATATTCAGCAATCCATAAAGAAGCCGAAACGCGATTAAATTTTACGGCTTTTTCATATATCATGAACAGTGGTTCATAACCCGCATAGAATTTCAATATTCCTACCACCAATTGAATGTCCAGATTTCTTAACGAAGTCCAGCATGTTTCAGAAAATAAATTGATTTTAGACCTGGTGGGGATCAAACCCACGAGTCGTTGGTTATTATACATTGCTAACATTACACCAACGAGGCTGTTAATTTCCGAATGTCGTTAATATCTGAGATATAAATTAATTTAATTTAAACCCGTCCGACACGTAAACAGTTCTCGTGGATTGCGCTTTGTGGTTTCAGCCTATTTTGTTTCAATATACTTAATATTATCTGTTATTCCATCTTAGTTTACATTGCGGTTAGAATTATATTCTATACGTGCTTGTTATACGTCACATATATTAAAAATGTACATTATGTGCAGTTGTTCACTGGGTGGCAGATGTAACTGACACAGATGACGGTACAATTCATCTTTAAGTACCGTTATCATTCGTTACTCGTCTCAAGAAACGTTGCATATAAACTGTTAGGCTAAGTTAGGTTTATAGACTTTATTTCTCATAAGCTTGTGCATTTATAATGAGATTTACAAAACAAAAGAACTTAAAAACTACGTATACATATACGCGGGTGGCTTAAATAATAATAATTTACATATGGTTTTGCTCGACTATATATTTTTTCAACATCATTTTAAAGACTTCGTAACTAAAGTAAGTTCAACATATAAACACTTTTTCAGTTGTTCAATTCACGTGGTCCTATTCGGCTGATGGAATTGTAATTAGACATAATATTTTTCTCGTTGTCTTCAATTAAAGACCGCCAAATGGTTAAACGCATTGCCTAGCATTGCTACAGAAGTCTGATTAACTACTTGCCTGTTAAAGAACGAATCAGTGAAACGGACACAATGTATTCGCCCCATGCCCCACGAGGGGGAAACGGGATTTCACACACATCAATTAAAGAAACGTTTTCTAATATAAAATGTATAGGGAATAATACAATTTCACTGTTTGACCATAAAAGTAATTCATCGAGTGTGTAATAATTCTTTTGCTTAGATATTTTTATCTTTTAAAATCTTTCTTTATGCTTGTACAGACATTGAACTTAAAGAGGTGTATAATCGGTAAATAGCCTTTACATTGGCGTTCCACATGGCCAGGCATACGTCGTATCACTCCATGACACAGAAATAAGTGGTGTGCCTGAGAGGAGTTTATACATTCCCTTTTTATTATTTTTCAATTTACAAATTCCATGTTACATAAGTACAGCTCAACCGCCTTGCTAACATCGATTTGTTATTTTCAGAATACCATATTTTTTCTACCATGGCTCAAACGTACTTGCCTCTCGGCTATGCGATTAACGCCGACCGGTCTGAATCGGCTTTCTATTTCGTTATGGTAATACTAGATCTCCTCCAGTTTCTATTTTTTTTATATATTCTCAATGCGTGTACAATTCAATGTTAGAATAATGAAATAGCAGATTTTTAAGATACTTTAAATTAAATCTTCTTGGTCTTGTCTAAAACGTTTCAATATGTCAACTTGTCTCAAAATCAACTGCCGTCTAGTTAACGCAACGAGGCGCTCTGTAGACAGTAATTAAAGTAATGAGGCGAGCGCAATCTCGAAAATGGGAAAAAATTACGCTGATTGCTAACGAGCCGTACCCACCCACCACTCTTGAGATGCAATTATTATGGCCAGGACTGTCCTTTATAAATGGGAAATTATGTCAGGCAATTACAAAGAAATTTAAAATTCCATGCGGGAAATTTACTAACAAAAACATTGATTGATGATTGTTAAAAATGGTCCTTTGAGTCGGATTTTAAACATACTCGTAATCCGGTAATTATTTGCTGTATCACTTTAAATCAGCTGTTATAAGAAATTTTATGAGAAGGCTAAAGAAGTCGTGTGAAGTTCGACACTGGAGGTTTCTAAGCAAATTCTTTTATTACAAAGCCCTCCAACTTTCCACAAGGCCGTGCGAGGTCTAAAGATTGTCAGAGTTCAAAGTTATACACGGCTTCTTGAAAACAATGTCGAAAACTTTCTATAGCTTCGGAAATGTGGGTGGTATCCCACATGGCGTTGCGTCATATTTTTGTGGGAGCTGGTTACAAATCTAGCCATGATTAAAAAACAACAATTTACAGTTTTTCGTTAATAGGGATCGACGCTTATGAAAACATAGAACGATCGATGTGACTCGTCATCTCAGAATTTTGGTCCGCCTGGTATGAACAATCTTTTGTTACGGGTAATTGCTCACGTGACGTTGCAGGATTAGTAAAGTAAATGAGAAATGATTAATTACAGTACTTAAATTGCAAAGCACAGCCACGGTGGT